GTTCTCATTGCCATGCCTAAAATCCAAATAAGACCTTTTTTGAAAAATCATATATTATTTCACAATTTGAAACAAACTATTTTCTTTGCTCAAATAGACCAAAAGTAAGATGAAAATCGTAATCGTAAATTGTACCTGAAATACAGTAGGTTCCAGGCCTTTGAACTCTGCCTTCAACATATTTCAGGAACACCACATTATAATGCCCGTCACCGACAGCAACAGCATTTGCCGCGTTACAATCAAGTAATGCACATTTTCTTGCTGCAGATACAATACTTTCATTGTGCGCCTCTCCGAGTACCTTCCCCAAACAAGCCTATAATTGAAGTTATTTATTACCCATTAAGTCTAGCCTAACCAGAAAGTTGTTTCAAAAGACAATTTTTAAAAACTAAAATAAAAATTTGACTAGAATAACCTGATGATAATATGTAACGTAAGGAGTATGTCGCTCTTTCTCTGCTTCAATATCACTCATTATAGGATCGCAGTCTTCCGCGTCCTGCTCTTCATCCGCTTTTGTGCTTCCAGAATGTTTCACTTCCTAGACCAGTTTAACCTGATTTGGTGTAACTAAGAAGAAATGATTTTTTGCCTAAAATCTTTTTCATTTTAGAATAGAAAAAACAACCTCATGTTTACGGGAAGCAAGAATCTGTCGTTCTTCCAATGCGTTCTGTTCTATCATTCTGAAGTTTGAAGGAACTCGTGTCTGTAGCTTCAACCTGAAATTTTTGTTTCTAATTTTTAAACAATGTTTTGAAAAATTTTAGTTTAAGGATTAAACAGCAAGCGGTCTTTCATTAACAAATCGTTATTGACACACGAATTATCAAAAAATGCAATGTGGTACCCAAGGCAAAAACTCTTCGACTTTAACGATGACAGCAGTGTTATTAGCATTGGTCTACTTAAAAAAAATAACCAAATCAATAAAAAAAATCAAGTTCTACTTCTAAAAAATCAACTTCTATCAAATCAAGTTCTACTTACTCATTTATTCCCTCTCTGGCAGTAGGTTCTTCACTATTTTCAGGTCTTTGAGGAATCTTTGGGTGAGAGGCGATTTCAGCATATTGATTAGAATTTTTAGCTTTGTCAAATTTGAAGATATTTGACTGAATGATATTGTTCTTCATTTCAGAAGATTTGTTGCCGACTTTATCAGATTCAGCAAACCTTTCCTCAAGTGGTTTTCTGTCGACTGAAGAATCGTCAGCTTCAGAAGCATAGCTGTTCTGATGAGCCTCAGAGGTGCGAACATTTTTATTTTGAGCAGCAGAGTCATCATTGTCGTTGAGAACTGAAGTCTTCTCATGCGAATTAAGATGCAGTACGGTGTTTTTAAAATCACTTTCCTTTTCATATTGTGAGAAACGAGTATCGTATCCGCTGAAAATTTTTATTTTGATTAAATTAAGCGTTTTTTTAATATAAAATGATAATTGTATACAAAGTGTTTAAATGTTGCTTACGAACAAGTGATTTTGCACTTTAAAGCCAATTAATAAAAGTTTTTAAACTCGTTGACCTGTTTTCAACAAAAGTGGCCGGTGGGCTCTCAAAAGAAGATGTAGTTTTGCTATTTTCTCCTGAAGGTGACACAAGGGGTTTCACAGTAGAAGCTTTGTCTGGAACACCATTCACAACACCGCTAAATCGCTAGAAAGAGTTAGAGCAACAAAAACAAAATTTTTAAATATTTTTAAGTTCATCTTAATTGATAAAACGACAAAAACAATAAAGTAGTAATTTGATAAAATAAATTTCTGATTATCGTTAAAAATTCTCTTTTTTATGAAAACTCTGTCTAATACGTGAAATAAAGGCTCACCTAACCATAAACACATTAGAATTTTCATTATTTTCTAATCCTTCTCCAGTAAATGGTTGTACTTCTTGATGCGGATATGGCTTTTGAATGCTTGAGTCACCAATGTTACTACTATACGGAGACGCGAAAGAACTGTCTAAGCCATTGACACTGTTTTCAGCATGACCATCAAATGATGAAATTGCTGGAGACGGTGTTGCTGACGGATACTGTGGTTGTTGTATCTGTGGTTGTTGTATATGTGGTTGTTGTATCTGTGGTTGTTCATACGTTGCTTGATACCCATATGGGATATAATAGCTGTAACCAGGGTATTCCGCTGCCGATGATAATAACGACTGTGCAACTTGATCTGGGACAGCGACTGGTGCTGGGGCAGAATATGCTGAATAAAAATTGATTTAAGTTTTTAGTTTTTATTTTGCTGATATTTTTGGTGCTTTTCCTCTAAAAAATTTTGTAAAGAAGTTATTTGTAAGTGTGATGTAATTTATATTTATGCAACATCTGCAACTTTTTTTGCCCTGTATGGTAAAAAAGAGTTATAAACATTTTTTCCATGACAATTTGGATTTATTAGGTTACTGAATTAATTTTGCTTAAATAACCAAAGACATTGTCAGTTATGCGTCTATAACTATTTATTCTGATGGTACGATAAGATTAAAAAAAAAAAGAATTGAGAAATACTTATAATACATAAATTCGTAATAACCTAAAAATTATTGATATTTTCGTAAGTTAAACTGTTTCAAGGGATTAAAACTGAAGAAAAAAAGATTGGCAATGACTTATATGAAAGTGAAATGTCACGATAATAACAGTAGGAAACTGAATAAGAAAAGGTTTAGATCAAACAAAAATAAGAATAATGCACAGTACAGTATCGTCTGTGTGTATCTTTTTTGATACAAATAAGAGTAGAAGAAGAAATTGGGAAACCAGAGAGAGGAAGGGGAAGAAAAACAAAACGTTTATTTTAAGAAAGTGAAAAATGTTGATGATTCTCGGCATGCATATACGTTAATTAACCATAAAAGTTGTATTGAACTTTGCATTTTCTAAAATTTGAGTCCTCTTTCTTTTTAATTACACTTACACAGAATTTTGGTCTACCCTCCAACATCTTAATTACAGGACACTTTGGCCGATAAACAGCAACGTCATCAACAACAACGACAACAGTCTTTAAATAGAGAAGTCAAAACTTTTTCACCGTAAAAGATGCTGATACAATTTTTCTTTCAAATCTCTAAAATTTAATAACAAAATGTAGATGCGATATAAAAACTGCCGTTGAATTGAAGAAACAATTTTACCAAATCTTTTAGGCTTTATTTCACATGGTTTGAATTTGATGTCCCCTGTTGGTGGTCAAACATTGAAAAAATTTCGCTTTCGTAGTTTCCGCAAAAGAAGGCTTTTGATGAACGAAAATTGTGCATACAAAAGAGTGAGTGAGTGAACTTTGTAAACAAATTTGAATAAAAAAAAATGTTTTAAATTTCTTTTTTTGTCTTTTACAAAAATTTTTTAATTTTCTATCAACGAAATTGTAAAATAACATTTCAAAAAAAATTTTTTTTTATTTTTTTATACAAGTATAAATTAAGTAGTTAATAAGAAAAAAAAAACCAAAACGGTGGTATCTAATTTAAAGAAATGATTAGTAACCAAATAGTTTTCTTGCTTAAAACAAAAGATCATGCAACACAAAAAAAAAAAAAAAAAACAATTTTCTGTTTGTCAAGAAGTTATCTGATAAAAAGAATGAATGAAGAAGTGACAGATGGATAATTGAATACCGTTTGAGGATTGCAGATAGGAATCGCCATAGTTACAAGGTTGACAAGTTCCAGCCATACTTACACAGGAGCAGTCTCCACCTAAAATTTTACGGTCACCGTCTACTGTATCGTCAGCATAAAAAAGAAAAAAACTATAAAAATTCAAGCAGCATCAATGATTTACTTACCAAAGCCATGGCATGCTGTGCTTATTTTTGTCCAGCTACAAAAAATAAGCAAAATCCAATAGAAAGTTGACATAACCCCAAACGTACTTATATATAACTGTTTGGTATATGACAACTGATAAAATCCTGTAGACAATGGAAAAAAAAAGCTGCAGTACTATATTGAGGAGATGAAACAGTAATTGTAAAGTAATGATAACGACCGTTAACGATGGTAAAAAAAAATATATACGGTAACGACAAGTTCAAAAAATTTGTTAAATTGAGCTTTCAAACTGTTCAGCAGCTGTTTAAATACGACAAAAAGAAAGAAAAAAAAAAAGTTTTTTTTTTGTTTTGTTCCAATTAACACTTAATTTTATTTTAAATAATGTCAAATTAGGGCTATTTAAATCAGACAAAAAAAAAAAAAGAAAGAAAAGAAAAGAGGAAGAGAAGATGTCGTCGTATTAAGTTTGATCAAAAACTATTTGATGAATAGGCTTTGTTTCTAAAGACTCCGAACAATAAGCCAAATTTTTGCAAACATAAACTTTATGAGATTACATCTGTCATTGTTTGATGAACAAAAATGCTAAAAAAATTAAGCAATATTTGTTGCAGATACTGAACTGAACAGTGACTAAACCAGTGAAAAAATTGACCAGGAGAAAAAAAAAAGAAAAGAAAAGAAAAGAAACATTCAAAATTGCAATTTTTAGTAAAAAGAAAAATCAAAAAAAAAAAAAAAAAAA